TTTATATATAGAAATTAGAGTTTTCTGAATATAAACTGCTTCTATCTAAATTTTTTTATACTAAGTTAACTATTTTTGAGCTTCTAATTAAAGTTATAGAACTTGTTAAACAAATCTAATAATATAGTTAGAGATTTTACCAAAAATAGATATTAAAGATTATATCTTTTATGATATAAAATTATTGATCAATAGGTGTAGCAAAAATAAATTAGTAACGTAACCATTATACTACCTGAGAGATCTTGAAGTTTGGCACAAGCTCTCGAAATTATTCGCATTAACATTTCTGCGTATATGGTCACATTCTTTGTGTCTGCGTTTCTCAAAGATTGGCAAAGAATGATGGGATTTCCACTATCATTATTCTTTAAGATTTCGGGCAAGCGCTTTTATAAATAAATATTTATTAGAAACAAAGAATTTTACTTTTTGAAATGGATAAAATTGCAAATATTGCGCTAATTGACGTATTATTTAGTACTTTTAGGTATTTATAGTCAGCACTGTTCAATAATCACTGTAATTATAAATACCTTGATAAACTGTATTTCTTCAAGCTCTATAAAGCACCGATATGCATATACCAAGCTCGATAAAACCAGTAACTTTGCCTCATTATTTAAATTTTTGCTATTATTGAGAGCATGAAAAGAAAATAAATTAAATAGGCAATCCGAACTATTAATATGCTTTGGTTTGCCAATTTTATTTTTCATTTGTGGGCGTGCCATATTATGAAGGACATCAGAGCTTCTACTTGGATTTGTCGATCCATTGCTTACTCCAAGATAATTCAAAAGACGCGTTCGAAGCTTTAATAAAGATTGAATGGCTTCTCTGTACTAAGGTTATTAAAAAAAAAACATTAAAGAATTGAGACGAACTTTGATTCACAAAAAAACAGTACAAATTAAGAAAATAAGGCTACCAAACCAAAGTCTATCATGCTCTTTATTAAATTTGAATATGCCTTTTCGAGGTCTAATTCTCTAAGATTCAACTTTGCTTCCATTTGCTCTAATTCACCAATAGCCGAAAGAGTCGCGTTAATCAAAGTTTGGACATTTGAATGAGATGTCGCATTTTTATCATCAATGTTTTGGATATTGGAGTCGCTTAATACGCGCTTATTTGTAATATTTGAGCGTTCATGCAAAATTTTATTTAGAGTTTTTAAATTGCTGTTGATGGTCTGTTTTGCTAAGGAAGGATTAGCAGTTGCAAGACGCGTTCCAGCTGTTGGAATTGTTTTGGTCGTCGCTTTTAGGGTCCTTCGTGTGGATGTTGACGCCTTCATCAATGCACTTATCAACGAAAATTGAATAGCTATTCTTTAAATATTGATAAATTTATCTTGTTATGAAGAACTCGTCACGAAAATAGCAGCATTCGTCTGATTGGTTGTCGATCCTTGAATTTCATTGGTTGCTGTTACACAACGAAGTTTCACAATTAAACTTTCGTTGTGTAACCATTATACTTTCGTTAAACTTTTGTGTAACATTTTTTAATATTGTAAAGCTAGACTTTAAGTAGTATATAGCCTATTTGTAGTCTAATAGTAACTATATAAATAGGGTTTATAGAACGTTGGGTAATGGGTTTTTAGTTAGATTTGTCTTTTAGGTTTTTAGTTAGTTTTCCTTTTTGGTTGTTGAGTTGGATTCTTAGTAAGTTTGGAACTTGCTAAGTAGTTAGAGAAATAAGTGTATTAGTATTGTTAGTGTGTCTGGGACACAACATAAAGAAATATTTGTTATTACGTTCTGGTGCCTTTGTGTGTTAATAAAAATACTCAGTTCATTTCTGTTAATGATTACGACCCTTTGCTAAATTGGCCGAGCCGATACAAGTCTCTCCCTTGGTCGTAACATTGCTCATAGACTTATAATAACCATATCGATATACTGTACTTCGTTTACAACTTCTGTATCTTGTAGTTTTCATACATTTATAACGACATCATTGATAAATATCAGTCATGTCGATAAAAAATGATCAACTATTAGCATTTGGTTCAAACGGACATGGTCAACTTGGTATTGGCACAAATATTGATGTAAATGTTCCAACAGAATGTTTATTTTCTTCATTAAACCAAGTCAGAGACCTAATTTTGAATAATGAGTTTCCACCTATAATTATTAGCGGTGGAGGAAATCATTCCGCCTTTATAACTCACGACGGGGAATTATGGATAAGCGGATTAAATAGTGATGGCCAATGTGGCTCATTAAACTCTAATATAGTCACAACTACCACCCAAAAGCAAATTTCATTATCAACTATCTATAATAAAGTAATATTAAAGGATCCAGAAACCAAAATGGAAATTAAATGGAAATATGTTGCATGTGGATGGGCTTTCACAGTTGCTATTGCACAAAAACATGGATTAGTTTATACGTTCGGGAAAGGATTGCATGGAGAGTTAGGATGCGGCAATTTGATAAAATCATCAAACAATCAAATATTACAAATAGAAAATTTGCAAGAAATCAAAAAAGTTGATTGTGGATTGCGACATTGTATTGGATTAACTAATGATGGAATCTGTTTTGGGTGGGGAAGCAATAAATATGGACAACTAGGGCCATCACAAAAAGATTCTGAGCATTATAATGCAGAAGAATTAATGCAAGAAAAATCAAATATAAATGAATTATCAAAAAAAATTAAGACGGCAAAAAAAGATGAAAGTTACTTTAAACCAATCAAAATCTTAATTGGAATTGAAGAAAAAATTGAAGATATTGCATGCGGACAACATCATACACTTGTTTTAACCTGTACGGGACAAGTATATACATTTGGACTCAATAGGTATGGTCAACTAGGATATGCTTCACCATTAAAAATTCCAAATTGTATGATTCCGAAACAGGTAACAAATCTTCCTAGCAAGGTTACTAAAATATCATGTGGTTGGAATACTTCTATGGTTCTTTGTGATGATAAAGTTTTAATGTGGGGTAGAAATGATCATGGACAATTAGGAAAAGTAAATGCAGAAATAAATTATCAAAATGAAAATAAAGAAATTAAAGAAAATGAAAGTGGCTATATTCATAATCCCGTTCCATTATATTATCTTCCACAATATGGTTTATTTCCTAAATCTTTGAAAATTCAAGATTGTGCTTGCGGATCAGAACATTCTTTGGTTATATCGGCATCTAATGAGTGTTTTTCTTGGGGATGGAACGAACATGGAAATTGTGGCATAGGTAATAACATTGATCAATGGACGCCGGTAAAAATTAATTTATCAAATAAACATATAATTAAAAAAATTGGTACCGGTTGTGGAAGTTCTTGGATTTGGATAAATAATTTAATAGATTAAACATTAAAGTTATATAAATATTTAAAGATTATATTTTATACTTATAAAAATAGTTAACTTAGTATAAAAAAATTTAGATAGAAGCAGTTTATATTCAGAAAACTCTAATTTCTATATATAAA